CCTGGCTGGAAGTGATCCACCTGCCTTGGCCTCCCAAAGTGCTGGGATTACAGGTGTTGAGCCATCACGCCCAGCTGATATACTTTCTAATTATTGCACATTCTCAAAAGCTACATCAACACTTGGAAGAGTACAGGTTATTTTATGGTAGACTAACATTCTCATCTCAAAATTTAACTTTTTCCATTTTTAGCAGACACTGTTGTTATCCTGTTTATCCTTCCTTCATTCTTCTCAGCACTCAATAAGAGTTCATTTAGTTTTCGTAGTTTTAAAAACTAACCAATTTAACTTTTTTTTTTCTTTTTAAAGTTCATTGTAAAGGACTCTGTTGAAGAAAATATGCTGAAAATACAAAACAAAAAGAGAGAACTTGCAGCAGGAGCCTTTGGAACTAAAAAACCAAATGCTGACGAAATGAAACAAGCTAAAATTAACGAAATCAGAACATTAATTGATTTATAATTTGTGGGATTTTAGTAAGGTCAGTTTGATTGGATACTTAAGTTTTAGAAATAAGAAAAACAGAGTTTTAGAAATGAGATCTAGAGAACATGTTTTCTAAAAGGGTCATATTGTTTTATATTAGCGAAGAGGTATTACTGACACAATTTCTTCTATATATGAACATATTTTTAATGAAACTTCAAGTAGCAATAAGTTCCATTATATACTGTGGCCTAAAATAATTTTTTGAGAAAAATGTTACTTTGTTATTCAGCTTTTCATAGTATCTATGCTGAGTATTTTCATATATCTTCCAAGTACTCAGCTTTTTCGTATTTCAAATAAGGTCAGACCTTTTATACTTTTGACCAAATAGTTATTTTCTATGTTGGACACTTAGTTATTCACCAAAGCCTCCAATTTGTGATGCAGTGTTTGTAGTCCTTGTAAACAATATATATGAACTATAAAAGAATTAATTTTATTGGGCTTTCCAAAAACATATTTGTATTCCAGAACCAAATCTTAAAAGAGACCAAAGTCCAGGTTAGCAGAGTTTTTTTTTGTTTGTTTGTTTGTTTGTTTTTTTCTCTATAGTACATTGAGATATAGTGCACATAAGTGACTTGGAGTTTTATGTTCATGAAAAAATTAGAGATTATGTTAAGAGTACTACTGTTTCTCCATTTTAGTTAAGTAGTACTACATTCATTGTTTAAATGTAACTTGCTGTGTCTAGGGTGTAAATATAGTTTGTGGGAGTGAAAGGCAAACCAATCCTACCCAATTTGATTTGAATATTTTAAATTATGGAACTGCTAAATAGATATTTCTATAAATAATTTTTATTTATGTAGCTGTTTTTGGAAGTAACTATAAATTTTTATAATTCAGAAGACTACTATATGTGAGAGGTGTGATATCTGGATGGAAGTTGGGCTGGATGATCTCCAAAGTCGTTTCAACTCTTAAAGACATCTTAATCCTGAATGTAAAAATTGGTTATGTGTTTAGAATCAGAATTTGATTTTCAACTTCAGTAATTCATTGTTACATCTATCTATAGAATTAGAGTTTTTTTTACACCTTTTTGTTAATAAGCAAACTTAGTTGCTGCAGCATTCTGGGTGACTCCTGAGTCATATTTAAAATAAACAAGCTAGAAATTTAGCAGTCAGACTAGGTAGGTGGTTTTATTTCAAAGGGAAACTTTAATCCAAAGAAAGAAGAGATTACTCTAACAAGAGAAGTTTCATGTGTGATGGTACAGATTTAAGAATACTTGAGATTTTACTTAGAGTGTTGGAAGTGATTTGATAGAAAGATAGGATTGGAGACAATGTTGTGTTATAGGGTGCACATTTAAGGTATATGCCAAATCTCACTAGCTAAGTCCTTTCCTCCCTGTGCCCCGTTTTCTTGCTTAAAAGTGAATTAGCCAGCTAGTATCTTTCTGGTCCCTTTCTGAGGCAGTAGCAGGTGAGGAAAGGGCTGCTTTTCATCAAAACCAAGACCTTTTTTGCAGGGATGACGGTGGAATAATAATTTGGGATTAGGAGCAGTAGGGAAGTTACCTGGCAGATCAAGCATTACACACAAAAAATCAAGTTAATCAGAATATGGGTTCTTCCTATAACAATACTTCACTAAGTATAAACAGTTTTCAGCAAAAGACAACACAATTTACTCTTCCTACTTTCAAAGACAAAGCTTTACAAATTCACCAGAAAGGTAAAGGGAGGACAGCTTGCTTAATTACTCAGATATTTACAAAGTTGTTTTTAAAACACATTCATAAGTTTGGCAGATTGTTTAAAAAATGTCTTTTTGTTTTGTACAGTTCTATTACATATTGTTAAATTTGAAAAGTTTAATTAAAAAAATTGAATTTGTCCTTCCTAAGAAGGATATATAAAAAAGCCACTGGAATGAAAACTTCATATTATGCTATGCTGTTGTTTTATTATTACATAGAAAAATAACTTTAGAAAAATATTGAAGACATTGTATTACCACTGTGATTCAAACTGAATTTTGTGGTTCAAACTGGACTTTAAATTTAAACATCAATAAAAATTTCAAATGTTTATTATGTTCCTCAGTGCCATAATTTTGAGTTTATCCTCAAAGAAAATATTTCATTAATTCTCACATTTCTATGTGTTCCTTTTTTAATTGAGAGTACATGAAGATTACTGTAACAGAATAATGTACTTACATCCTACCTTTATTGTGCTCAGTTTAACTGGTTCAAATTCTTGTTCAGAAATCAGAGTGGTTATTTAAAATACTTTGATCTAAAAACATTGGTTCCAATCAATGTCCTCATCTGGAAGAAAAAAAGGAGTTGTGATAGTACCTATATATACACAGGTAGCACTCTGAATCATTGTACATTTTGTTCTTAAAATTACAGCATTTGAACTGGAAATAGTAATCAAGAAACTAATCCTATGTAGTTTGTTACCAGTTTAGTACTAATAAAATTATCTTAGGCAATGTATGCTTTGTTTTGGGGAATAGCAAAGACATTGCTGTATTTTTTTTTTTTCTTATTTATAGTACTTGCCAAGGCTTATGCATTAGCATTTGGATGAGATTCATTAAAAATGTAAGGGCATATTTGATGTTTGGCTCCTAACAAGAACTCAAATGTTTAACCTCGAGTTAACACATTAACTTCAAAATATATCTGCGAAAGGTGTTATACAGCAGGACAATATGGGCATAAGGAGAATTAAGGTAAACATTTACTTTATGCATAAACCATAGCTCCATCTACCATGGAACTAATCTCCACAGGCATGGATTTGACCTCTGTTGTGGGCAAGTTTGTCTTAAAACCAAAGGTCATACCTACCATTGCAAGCGGTAAGTATATGTGGATCACCTCCGCAAATATGTCTTGTAATTTGAGTTACTGTTGCCTTTTTATACATTTTACTAAGTAACCCTTAGTATTCTGGACTCCCTAGAAAAGATTTCCCAGTATTTGTATAGCTTTACATGAAAAGTTAATACCTCACCTTAAAACATAGATCACAGAAGGAAAAGAATCTATTAGTTCTGTGGATTTCTAGCCAAATAACTTGACAGCATTATATGCTATGTCTTATAGTAAGCCTGTCATTCTTTCTGATTCCAAAAGTTAATAGCCTTCACTACTTATTAAAAATTTTGAAATTATATAAGCTTTTCACCTTAGAGCTTTCTGATATGCTACTGTGTAAAAAATAGAGAATGAGGCTTGGTGGCTCATGCCTGTAGTCCCAGCACTTTGGTAGGCTGAGGTGGGCGGATCACGACGTCAAGAAATCAAGACCATCCTGGTCAACATGGTAAAACCCCACCTCTACTGAAAAAAATACAAAAATTAGCTGGGCGTGGTGGTGCACACCTGTAGTCTCAGCTGCTAGGGAGGCTGAGGCAGGAGAATCGCTTGAACCTAGGAGGCGGTGGTTGCATTGAGCTGAGATCGCACCACTGCACACCAGCCAGCCTGGTGACAAAGTGAGTCTCTGTATCCAAAAAAAAAAAAAAAAAAAGAATGAACAGTAGTACATAGAGAAAACACTGAATGCATATTGAATGGCCATAAAAATAAGACATTTTTTAATCTGAAGACTGTGTTTCTGTTCATCTTAACCAGGGACTCAGAAGCCAGAAAGACTTCCGACTAGCCAAAATTATTTTGAGAAGTCTTTGTACCACAATACCTGACACATGGAGGCACTTAAATCTTTGGTAAATGTTTCATTGTACTTGAAGATCAATAGTGACTTATTGTTCACCAGTCCAATTAGCTAGTTTATTTTCAGAAATCATTTATTCATTTACTATAATTCTAGGTAAATCCTCAGATTCTTCTTGAGCTCCTATGGTAACAGCCTTCAAGGTGGCCCCAACCATTCTTGACTTAAGTTGGTCTATATGGTTGTATATTAATTCACATCAGTCTGAATAAGGAGGGTGAACTTGAAGGCTAGGTCACAAAAGCTGTGCATCATCTGCCCAATCAAACCTCTCAAGTTTCTTCCTGTCATGGTTAACTGTCCTTTTTTTCTTCTACAGAATCATTTGACTACTCATTTTAGTTTTAAAAGGTCAGCTTGGATCCTGCCCTTCTCTAGCTTGCCATCTCTTACAACCTTGAAAGGTCTATAAATTTAATAAATATGCTTTTCCATTCTATCATTTTTAAATCATAGATAAAACACTAGTAGGCACTGGACTCAGTGTTGATTCTGACAGTTATGAATGATTTCAAGGTTAAAATATTCTAAATAGCTAAATACCCATTTAATAGGGAGGTACAGTATGGATGCCAACTACGTACGTTTGATCTAAGTTTGTTCTGATCTATCAGATCCATCACCATCACAGAAAAACAATTAGATTGAAATCATAGATACCAGTTTTTGAGGCATATATCCCAGTGTCAAGCTTTACACTGTTTTTTAAAACTGACAAATTCCAAAAATTATGAAAAAGTCCCTAATAGGTTTCTTCAAGGGTGTGTGGTGAGATTCCTTAATTTAATTAAACAACCAAGATATGGCTATAAGTCTTTATTTTCCATACAGGGTGCCACTGCAGGTAACCATCAGAGAACACACTGCTATTTTCAAATATACAGAACTGAACAAAAGCATTTTAGCATGCTGCCTTACTGTACATAGAAAACTGGTGAACATCTTCAGACACTAAGACCAGGAAATAAAATGGGTTAATGCTATTTGTTGATAGTTTATGAATCACTCAGCAGTGTTAATATAGGCTATCTTTACCTGAAAGCAGAATTACAATCACTCATTCTGGCAGCACTGGGCAATTCTAAAATGCAGGTCTAGTGAAAGGTAGGCACAACCAACAAGCAAGCAAGGAACAGATGCCATGTCTGCTTCTGAAGGAAGTGACTGATTTGGAACCAGGCTCCGCAGATTTTAAGAAATGATATAGCCGTCTTTAACAGCTTAATATTGAGTTTCCCTTACTTCATATGTTGGCAGTCAACAAAAGGAAGAATTTCTGAAACGAGCTAAATAGGAATAAAAAGCAGAACACTGTCCATATAACAGAATTGCTGCTTTACAACTTTTGCCCAGTTCTCACTTTTTGTCCTACAAAAAGCTCTCATCTGGTAAGTTTTAGTGAAAGCCTCTAGCAACTGTAACAGACTTTTCTCAACCCAGCTCTAGATACTAAGTATCAGAAAGAAGGCTTGTGAAGTGGATGTGTTCGCAGGAAAATGCAGTGTTTCTACTGGAGGTAAGTGTCAAGTTTCCTCTTGATGTTGTCAAAGGAATCTGCTCCCATATAATCGGCCTGGCCTTGTTCCCACCGTTCCTTCCGTTCTTCCGAGGATACAAAAGGCTGTGCCATAGCTGGGATCTCCCCAAGGGACAGATGTGATATGGCTCCTGAGACATCTTCCTAGAAAGGAAAGCATAAGTGACTATGAGAGCTGAAAATCAAACCATTTTAAAGAATACAATATATTGAAGACAGTGAGAAAAGCCAGGATGAATCATCATGCAAAGCAGCAAAAACTGAAAAGTATTACATGAAACAAACAAACAAGACACAAAAATATAAAGATTATATGATTTTTTTCCTAACGAAATGAAGACTTCTTGACTCAGGGAAAACATTGGGAGAACAAAGTAATTAGGGTTAATGTTTAAGTTCTGCATACCTTTCTACAGAAGCCACAAGAGAAAGCCAGTGTATAGACCAAGTCTGAAAGCTGCAAACAGTTCATTAGAAAGTGTAAGATGGATGGACAAGGGAACACAAGTCTCAAGATAAATTCTCAATCTGTGTGGGCTCTGAAAGGTTGAGAACTTAAACAAAATGATACCCCACAGGCTACATTTCAGAAGGAACTTAACTAGAGAGCCGCAGCACATACACTTGTAACATTATAAGGAAAGTTAAACAGGTTTGAGACTATGTACCAAACTTCTCTGCTTGTTCAAGCTTTCATTTGGATTACCAAGTATCATCTGTTCTTGTAGCTTCTGTTAATTTGCTTTTAGTTTTGAACAACTTTCAGTTCCCATCTTCACCTTTCCTTGGTTCACAATTCTCAGCCCTCATGAGGGCTGAGAATTGTGCAACAAACAGAGCAGACCTGGCCTACATTAAATTTGATTCTCATTACATATAGATAAGTGATCAACTTCAAATGTACCATAAAAGAATACCAATGCTATCCTTCAAGAAGTGCCAAGTTGCAAAGGTACTGGAAATCTTAGCAGAGAAAAAGGAAGGTAAATGAATACAAACAAGTATTGCTTTTAACAGAGAAAATGGTGTAAAAAACGTTTTGACTCCGTTTTTGTTACTATATATATGTAAGCATTTCGGTATGTATTTAAATACAATGGAACTTTAAGGTGTTTGGGTACCGGATTGCATTATAGTTGAGGCAACATAAGGAAGTCGTTACATTGAATTAGTCCTGCCTTTGCCTTGCACTTGGCAACAGATACAGAGTCGCAATTCCAGAGTCCTCTGTTCACAACAGGGGGGCTATGAATTTACATCCTAAAAGAGACGTCTCTGAGGTCAAGCCAAGTATACTGGGCATAACTTAAAATAGTTTAGCATTTAAAGTGTAACTCTCCCTTCCCCTGCCATAAAAGGTACTATCTTAATTCTGGGCTGTAGATGACTACTTTTAAGCATGGTCTATCTCAAATTTTCATAAGCATAAGTCTCTCAGACCTGGGTTTGAGGTCCATTCTGCTACTTGACTAGTCTGTTACACAACTAAGCCAGGTTATGTAACTTATTTAAGCCTCGGTTAATTTATCTATAAAAGGAGAGATTAATACTTAATATACTTAACAGTACTTATAAAAGGAGATACTAATACTTAATATACTTAACAGTACTTACTAATAGTCTTTAATATGGTGGTTTTAAGGGTTAAATAAGAATAGCTAACTTTCATTAAGCGTTTACTATGTGCCAGATGGTGACAAGCACTGTATCACGGGGGTCTCCAACCCCCAGGCCACAGACCAGTAGTGGTCCATGACCTGTTAGGAACTGGGCTGCACAGCAGAAGTTGAGTGGCAAGCAAGCAAGAATTACTGCCTGAGCTCTGCCTCTTTTCAGATCAGTGGTGGCATTAGATTCTCATAGAAGCGTGAACCCTGTTGTGAACTGTGCATGCAAACGATCTAGGTTGTGTGCCTCTTTTGAGAATCTTATGCTGATGACCCGAGGTGGAACAGGCTTATCCTGAAACCATCCCCCACACTGGTCTATAGAAAAATTGTCTTCCACAAAACTAGTGTCTAGTGCCAAAAAACTGTTACTTAATATTTAAGTTATTTACTGGATGTTCATATTGTGATTTTCACTGAAAACACATTGGGGACCACTGCTGTACAAATATGTCATGATCCATATACAGCACTCAGAGTAAGAACGCAAGTGTTAGCCCTTTCTCACTTTCTCCTCTCTATATTTTAGTAAATGCTCGTAAGTGAAATTCAGGCTAAAATCTACACCACAGAGGAGAATACTCTCCCATATAATCTCTTATAGCCAGTTGATTAACTGATTATCTGATTATAATTCACCCATTCTGTTCTCTTATTTATATCTTAATATATAACAGTTATTTACTGTATGTTCATATTTTGGTTTTCACTGAAAACACATTCTTCTAAGCAGATGGCAAATACAAAGCAGATACATCTAAAGGTTTGCAGTTCCTAAAATATCCAATGGGGTGTTATTTTTATAGACCACTACTTTAGGAATAAATCTCAAAATCTTTTCAGAGGAGAGTGGGCTAAGAATCTTAAGAGTTAAAATATATGGGTATATATACAAAATTCTAAAAAACTATGTTCTCAGATCTAAAGAAATCTGCCGCACAGTTTATGTCTGCTACTTCTTTGCTGGTGGTGTTTCTCCCCTCTAAGATGGATATTGTTTTCTTTCCACAAAATTTTATTTATCTCTGTTTAAAATGCTGCTAAATAATCCCCATCCCTATTGATACAACAAGTGTTTTAAAAAACAAGCAGCATTAAATGATGTAAAGAAAAGAAACAGAACCTACCACATTTACGTATGAGCAGGTGTCTTTGACAAGGCCAAATTGTTGAAGCAGGGGTAAAACGTTGGTGGTAAAGATGTTCCACCACAAGATAAGAAACTCTGGATGAGTCATGTTGGGATCATGGGACTCACTTTTGACACTTTTTGTTTTGGGATCATAAGTATAATTCCACGGTTTGACTCTTCCCAGGAAATGCACAACTTTCGCACTTGCACCAAACCTGCCAAGTGAACACAAGTTGAAACAGTTAGTGGATTCTGAGTACTGAAAAAAAGATAAGCCGCACTTAATAGCACTTTGTTCTGTAGCTTGCTTTTCTTTTTTTTAAGAGACAGGGTCTCACTGTCACCGAGGCTGGAGTGCAGTAGCATGATAGCTCACTATAGTCTTGAACTTCCCACCTTAGCTTCCTGAGTAGCACAAGCCACCATACCTAGCTAATGTTATTTATTTTTTTTTAATAGAGACGGGGTACCCAGCCTGGTCTTGAACTCCTGGCCTGAAGTGATTTCTTCCACCTTGGCCTCCTTGTTCTGTGGCCTGAACAGCGTACTTTCCATCCTGTGGTACAGGTTCAAAAACAAACTGAGTTCACTGTGAAATTGTGAGACAGATACTTTTAAAAGCATTCATTCAGTTGTATGTTACATACATATAAAAAATATAAATGTAATATTGGTTCAGTGCAACACTGAAGCACCAATCCATTGTGGACAGAACAGGCACAACACTTGGAAAGTATTTGGTATTACCTAGTAAAGTTAAAAATGCTCAAGCTGTACAACCCAGCATCTTGGCTCCTAGGCACATACCCTAAAGAAACTCTTGTGTATGTGCAACAAGAGACATCATCAAAATGTTCACAGCAGCAGCACTGTTTGAAACAGTCAAAAACTGAAACAACCCAAATGTCTAATTAGATTTCTGCTCAGCAAGTCTACATCACTCCCAGCCTCCTCTGAGGGAGGACACTTTCCCACATGATGTTGGACATGGTCCTGTGGCTTGACTTGACTAAGACAATGTGAGCAGAAGAGACAGTGTGCCTTAACAGAAGCATTGCTTATTTCTGTTCACCCTCTGAGAAATTAACACTTCTGCCAGCAGAACATGCTCTGGGTTCTTGCTGGTTCCAGAAAAAAACATGGAACAGATGTGGACCAAACCTGTAGCCTTGCTCCAAACCCTGCTGAGATCATCAGAGCTGTCCCAGCCAACCCACTAACATATAAGAAATATTTGCTTATTGTTGAATATCACTGAGATTTTATAGTTATATACCCAATCTTTTTTTTTTTTTTTTTTTTTGAAACAATCTCGCTTTGTCTCCCAGGTTGGAGTGCAGTGGCGCGATCTTGGCTTACTGCAATCTCTGCCTCCCAGGTTCAAGCAATTCTCCTGCCTCAGCCTTCTGAGTAGCTGGGATTACAGGCACGTGCCACCATGCCTGGCTAATTTATATATATATATTTTTAGTAGAGATGGGGTTTCACCAAGTTGGTCAGGCTGATCTCAAACTCCTGACTTTGTGATCCGCCCACCTCGGCCTCCCAAAGTGCTGGGATTACAGGCGTGAGCCACCATGCCTGGCCTCCAGTCTTTTATAAAGGAAAATTCTGCTATATTCACAGCATAGAATACAATCTAAAATGAATGAACTATACTTATACACATCATGCAGAAAAAAGATGAATTTTTAAAGCATTTACATTGAAAAAAGCAACAGGTCAAACAATTACATACATATTATTCCACTTACATAAAGGCAAAACAGGCCGGGTATGGTGGCTCACACCTGTAATCCTAGCACTTTGGGAGGCCAAGGCAGGCGGTCCATGAGGTCAGGAGATCGAAACCATCCTAGCCAACATGACAAAACCCCATCTCTACTAAAAATACAAAAATTAGCTGAGGGTAGTGGCAGGCATCTGTAATCCCAGCTACTCGGGAGGCTGGGGCAGGAGAATCCCTTGAACCAGCGAGTCAGAGGTTGCAGTGAGCTGAGATCGCACCACTGCACTCCAGCCTGGTGATACAGTGAGACTCTGTCTTCCAAAAAAAAAAGGCAAAACAAGAAAAAAGGTACTGTTTAAAGATTAGAAAACTATAATCAATATAAATTTCATGATACTGGTTACCTCTGGGTGAGAGAGGAAGCTATGATTGGGAAGGGACAAAAAGATTTCTAAGGCACTGGTTGTAATTCTATTTCTTAATTTGGGTGGTATTTTTAAACACTGCATTTTAAAAATATATATATTCTTTTGTATAGATGCCCCATTTCACAATAAAGAAAATCTTTAAAAGAGTAGGAGTAAAGTGTCATTCTGTCCTAGCTGGGAGGAAATCTATGTATATTAAAAACAAAAAACAAATGTTAATGTAACAACTGCCAAAGGGAAAACAGGAACAGTGAGTGCTCAGGAATTCACAGCAGCGTGAGCTCTATCCAGCTTCAATGGGAGCAGAGGTGCTAAGATAGGGGGATGTGATTTCAAGCTAAATACAGCAGATGTGATCTGGGTAGCTGATAATAACATAGGGAATTCCAGGCAGGTGATGGCCAGGTATCAGGTGAGAGCACCTGTGTGCTTGACCAGGTATCCTCCATTAGAGGCAAAGAGGAGGAAGCTTTGAGTAGGGAAAGAAAAGTAAAATAAGACAGAACCTCAGGTATTGGGCTCAAGTGTTAGATTTCAGTAGATTTATACTATAGGCAACCAAGGTATCTGAGCGTGATATACTGATCAAAATAACACAAACTCTTAAAGTTTATTAGAAAAAAAATAGGGACTGGTTAAAAAGCTATCATCAGAGTTTACTATATGGAGACCAAACTCTTTAGGGACATGATTGGGAATAATATTTCTACAAGGTAAATTTTACTAATGTGTTAATTGAGGCTATGAGAGACTGAGGAAAGATGCCCAAGGTCACACAGCTATTAAGTGGCAGAGATGGGATTTGTCATGGTTTTGCCTCTCTGCTGCTGCTCCTAAAAGCATGCAAGAAAAATACAGTCTTATTTGTAAACCTCCTTCCTCTTAAGGTTAATTGATCATTCCATGATTTGTTTCTTCTGGAAGATAAAGAGGATATTTGATATCCCCATGCTTACTCTTTATATGTACACATAGTATATCTAATACACACAACACTCTTGCTCTATATCCTTAAAAGGATAAAAATAATAATGCCCAAATTTGTGCACAGATAAAGCTATCAATTAAACAAGCAACTGTTATGCATATGGTATTATGCTCAGTGTGTGGCCCCAAGAGGCTTTTGTTCAAACAGGAAGAAGGGTCATCTACATAAAAATAAGCAAGGTGAGAAGTTGGGGCTATCAGGGCAGTACTGATATTAAGGGCTACTGATATTCCAATTTTCAGAGACAGCTTTGTGCAGGAAGTGGGGACAGGGACAATGCATCAGAACAATGGGCAAGACTAAGATGGTGGGGGCAGTGGTGGAACGCATCCCAGAGATCTGATACCTGTGGGCAGAGCGGAGGGAAGAGGGCATTGCCCCATCCCAGCAATACAAACTCATGAGCCTAAGACTAAAATACAGCACATAGGAATGAGGTATTCCTTCCACCTTCTCAGACATTCACCCCTCCTGACTCAACTTCCCTGCCTGGAGCTACAGCACCTGTTTAGATCCTCTTGTATTAACTGTTTGATCATCTTGTATTAACTGACCGCTAAGCTTCAGCCCATGACTTGCTTAGACTTAATATAAATGTCAAACACAGGCATAACATGATAGTAATACTAATTTTTAAAAAGTTAAAATATGAATATAGTGTATTCTTTTCTAACCTGCTCTCATAACAGTTCACTAATTATTATAGTAATAATAAGAGCAGTCAAATAGTAATAATATACTTCATATACTCATTATAAGTATATGAAGTATTTATATGTCACAGGCATTGGTTAGCATTTGCTTGGTTTACTCAGTTAATCTCCAAAACGGCAATGTGAGGAAACTAAGGCATGAAGAAGTTAAGTAACTTGTCCAGGATCCCCTAGCTGGTGAGTGACAAGGCTGGGGTTCCATCCACGCAGTCTGGCTCGAGCCAAGGCTCTTAGCCATGACTAGGCTGCTACTGTCAGACACTCCCAGAATTATAAGGCATTGTCTGAGAGTGACCTTTGTTAATTTATGGATTAACTCCTGCCTATGGACAATTAGTCTGAAAGTGAAAAAGGTATGCCTAAGAATCCTGGCAATCCCCCAAGTATAGTTAAGGACCGAGCAACAGAAAGTAACCAACAGGAAGGCATCTTATAAAGGAAGCAACTTAGCACTGAAGAAGACTGAAGACTTTCAAGAAGGATGCAGTTTGCATAGAGGTTAAGGAAAAAAGAGAAGAACAAGAAGAAATGGGTGGTGCTTTCACAGATCAGCGGGTGACACACAAGTAGACTGTGTTGGACAGTGTCTAAGGGTCTTCCCAGCTCCTGTCTCTATATTTGCGTGTCAGAGCTCATGCAGGGGAAGGACACAATGGTCCAATCCCCCTGCACACAGATTGCCTCTGGCTCCATCTGTATCCCAGCACAGCTCTGGACCTCCATACAACTGGTTCAGAGGCCTGTGCAACCCTCCTGGATACCAGTTCCATGCTGGTTAAATACCTCTCCATATGGCCTATGGCCTTCCTCTTGAATGTCAACAGGAACACCATTTGGAAACAGTCCACGCCCTGCATTTCACCGTGGCTCACGCACTGATCTCTACCTTCACAAATCCACGTCTCTGAATATATCTTTAATTCTAAATCTGTTACTCCCTGTGGTCAGGGGAAGGAGCCTCCTTCCTCAAATTACCTTTTTTAGGTAATCTACCTTAACGATGTGAAAAACTGTATCTGCTGGATAGTCCTTTCATAGGCAGGGCAGTTTTCGTTTTAAGAAATCCCTTGGTAAGACTGTTTAAAGTAGAAACTGGGATCTTAAGGGGTCCTAAATGTGGGTGAGGCTGCTTTTTGATGCCAGCAAGACAGGGGGAGAGTGGGAAGAGACAGGAGAGGTGAGCAGCTACCAACAGGTACCCACATTTCTGCAACAAAACAAATCTCAAAATCTTAGGATCTAAGTAGGTTTCTTTAAAACTTAGTTGGGGCCAGTTTATCGAGTGGCAAACTTGAAACAGACTCAGGAGTGTGAAGGCAGAGAGAAGCATGAGAAAGAAGGTAAGAAAGATTTCTGT